GAATAAACCGATTTTGACTTAAACTATCATCTGATCTTCAGCGTCGCCCCCATTATTTCATCATCCTAATTGTTCTTCTATCCGACCCAATGTCATTAAAGGCTTATGATACCATGTTTATTGGCCTCGTTATGACATCACTGTAGTCATGTGATGTACGACCTTTATTGACGAGTTTCCATTTTAAATGGTATTGGTTTAACTTTATTTTATCCAAATAAGGCTTTGCTGAGCTAAAACTTTGCTGAGCTAAAATAAAACACACAAAAAAGTGAAAATGTAGTAGCTACATATGGAATTGAAGCAGTCTTAATGTCCTTTAGCCTGACTAACAAAACAGATCATATATTCTTTTTTAATAATAACAGTTTTCCTGCACAACATCATTTTTTCAACGAAATCGTTTGTGGTTCCTCCTGCGACACTTTTAAAGTTTTGCCGTTATTATTAATCAACAATGTCTGCAAATATGTAAATGAATTATGAACATGTCTTGAATAAAATTAGGATAAATGAATTCTTTGCCGGTAGGTGACTGTCAATCACTATCAATAATAGCTGCTATATTGTTACCACGCTGTCTGTTAGAAAACAAATATATTCTCGTTAGTTACTAATTATAGCGTGTTGTGATTTGAAAAAAAAAGGTTATTCTTATATGCATCCACATAATTGTTCCTTCATTTAAAAAACACATCACGCACCCTCTTTGAAAATCGGAGAAAACCACGAGCTCCAGAATCAAACTTAGACCAAGTATTTGGGTAGCTCATCAAATGTGGTATGGAAGAGGTAGGTGTACTGTAATTAGGGGTTTGAAAAGGATTGTAAAAATAAAAATATAATACTTGCGTTTGTCATATTATTTGGTTGGAAAGCGTAAGTGCAAACTAACACGATCAATCAATCAATCATCTTTGAGTTAAATAAATTAACAAGTAATCAATATGCATTGCCATTTATCCGAAGAATATAACAAATCGGTACTAACAATATTTGTATCCTTTAAACTTGTTTAATGACGTACCATGTTCTATGAATCATTTTCTCTAGCAGTATGCACATAAACATAAAAAGCATAAGGTACTTGTACTTACATGTTTATTAAAAATCTCAAGTGTGAATAACAATAAAAAGGCAGTTGATATAAATACTCTATAAAGACACTACAGTTCAGACAAATTCGTCCAATCAATAGTTGAAATTAATCATGTTTACTTATTAGTCGTCTCTTTTGGCTCGTTTTCAATGCCTTGATTCTCGATTTGAGAACGTGACATTACTTGTTTTATCATTTGATTAAAGATGGCAGCGTTCGTCGATGTAACTAAAGTTAATTCTTCAGAAACATATTCAAAGTCTCCTTGTATTTTTAAACGATCTCTGTTTAGATATCTTTCTTTTAATGGTTGATAATTTGCCCTAGTTTCATCGCAGTTGATTTCACATTTCGGTTTGGTTGAAACTCCAGCGCTTTCACGTTTTAGTAAGTAATTGTATTCAATAATTGCATCATTAGTGCAACGAAAGTCAGCATAAGAAAGTAAAACAGAAATACAGTAATAGAAATGAATGTTCACATACTTTTATCTATTATGTTTGAAACTGAAAATTATTACTGTAGATGTTGTGAACGATTTACAATATCGGGACATTAAAAGCAGATGTGTCGGGTAATTTGTATGAAGACGTGCGCGTGATAAATTCGTATGTAGATGTAACGTGATCTGTATGGTCACAGCTCAGTGATCACAACAGAACGAGCGTGAGAAAGTTAGCCCCCTTCCTTATCTACCATATACGAAATCATATAAAGTTTAATGTTGCGAAACATCTTTGTAAGTTTAATGTCAATCTGTGTTTATTTGAGATATTTAAATAGGAGCTACCTGTAATAAATTTATATCAAATTTATTATACAAGAGGCAATAAAATATATAATACGTTGAAGCTGCAGTGCAATAGCTTTCTTGTCCATTGTTTAATAATTAACTACAAATATCAGCATATAATGTTATATATATGTTAGTGCATATATATTCCTAACTAGTTAGTTGAATATGTTCTTTAGAAAATGTATAATATTTCCCATGAATTAAGATATACTACAAAACTACAGTATGTGAGCCTTTAAACAGCATTACTGATCAAACTTCTGTCGATTTGATGTCAAGTTTGCAATACTCCTTGACAATTTATAATGTAAAAGTAAAACGCATTGGGGAAAACTGATACCAATGTGTCATAAAACGTCATTCGTAATCATGATTGACAAAGCTAACGCTGCAAATGAACAATTGATACTTTAACAGCGATCGAGACCATGAAAAAATGAAAAGTGTCCTGGAGGAGAAAGTGTCTTCAGCTTCATCGATAACACCTGCCATGTAAAGCAAGTCAAATAAAAGTATCGCCATGCCCTATACGCGGGAACCGAGATATTGACAACGAAAAAACAAGACACATAATTTGCATTAATTAAAAAACATCGACCTTCCTATCACAAAAGAAAAAAAGGTATTTACCTATGAGTTGGCGACTACAAGACCTGCCCATACTCTTCATCAACCTGCATCAATGGATATGTTATCAGTTAAAACGTTCATCCGTTAGCTGTTGACATCTTTCACGGAAATCCTAATATGCTGAGCAAGCTTTTAATAACAGAGTCAATTGCGACGTGTCAACACCGTAAGTTGGGAATCAAGGGTATTACTGCCAAGAAAAGTAAGGTTTACACTCGGAAAATCGAAATAGCATATTTACAATTTGAAAGGATCAGGTTTTTTTTTTTACCATATTGATCAATGAAAGCATGTATTACGAGACGGACTGTGAATAAGAATGGAAATGTTTTAAATCATTTGAAAATGACTTTATTGCAAACAATAGTACACAGTTTTGATTACATTATTTATATTGTAATATGTTACTGTAGTTATAATTGCATTTCCCTAAAACTTTCGTACACATATTGTAGCGTTTATACTTTTACTGGTAACGATTCTATTTAAGCTGTATACTTATCCAACGTTTATGATACTGTAAGGATGATTTTCATTTCAAATTGATCGGATAATTTCAGTAATTTCACTTCAAAAAATCGTATGACTTAATTAGCTGTGCTTATGATTCTGGTTTACACTAAAGTACTTAAGAACTGATTTGATAGATTTAGTCTGTATCATAACACGTATTGGGAGGGTTGAATATGAAGTTCTGTTAAAACACATCCTGTTGATTTAGGAAATCCTGTGTCATGGTACCACGAGACATTGTTTATGTTTGGCAGTTATTTACAGGGCACGGTGTCAGTGTGAGCAACAATAGCAGAGGGACACTTTGATGGATGGCGAGGAGTGATGTGGTGAACTTCCTGTGGGCGGACTGGCGCCGTCAGCTTTACACTGTCACATAACTAACTGTACATCTCTGACGATTGAAATGTGGAATATAATACAAGGTCAAATACTAAAATAGAACTGCTGATTGTTTTAGCTATTGTCTTTTTGTTTTGAATATTTATTTGCATCCGTTGTTATATTAAGTATTACGTAACAGTGTGTTTATGTTGATATTGTTTTCAGTTAAATGTATGGATGAACTTTGAACCTCAGTGATCAGTTATGTTCGCCAGCCGACCTCACACAAGCTAAGCGTGTATACTTCCGCCAGCAAACTTCAGCTTTTGTTACATATTTGTATGGAAATGCAAGCTTCATGAAACAACACTCACAGTCGGTGTATCGGCACGCGCTCGAAGCGTCTACTTGCATATAAATTATGTTTATATACACATAAATCGGAAGTACTTTTTTCATTCTTTCATATCTAATATATTTGGCGAAAGATTCTATATATATTGTGACGAAAAACAAAACGTTCTCGTAGGCTTTGTACAGATTTTACATATTATTGGATATACTTATATGTTTATTATGTTTATAACTAATGTTACACGTATAGCAACAGAATCACTTACTTAACAATCATAATTTAGATGAGTGTTTAAGAAGATATATTCATATAAAATTTGTTTGATAAATCGAAATAAGTATCTACTGGACACATCAACATAATTGTGTAAAATAATAATTAACTGTTAACTATGTTTTAACACATATATTTATTTTCACCCTTGTGTGTTGTTGTGCAGCATTGCCCACACGCGTGAGTGGTAATATTGATGAGTGTGTTGACGTATTTTGTTGATTGTTAGATAACGTATATATACACAGTCGCACGACAAATGATTTAGTGCAGTTTGTAACCATGTTTAATCCTGTATGTGTATATATTTAAATATACCCATTCCGGTGATATCATCGTATTAGGTATGTATATATATAAATATATAGGTAATTCACTTGATATTAGTAGCTGTTTCTTCATATATAAATTACGCACACTTACAAACGTTCTGATGAATACAAATATGACAATGTCTCGTGCTACGGAAGCAGATGTTAATACAGGATAGTCCTTTTAAACTTTGACCTATGGCGGTTGGTATCACTTTTAAAACATTCAACCAAATCACATTCTTTTTCTGTCCTCTCGAGGCATTTTCCCACGAGCTCGCACAATGGACGACATTCCTGCACACATAAGGCCAGGTTAGCGATAAGACCTTCATGAGACATTTTATAGACTCTTTGTGAATCCGGCTGCTTATCGGTATGCGTGTTTACATAGTCATTCAAGCATTTAGACTACCAAAGTAGGCGGGGTTTTCCCACACTTTCACAAAACCAGAAGATAATCACTGCGGCACGTGGACCTATTTAGTTAACAAATGGCAAACACTTTGATTGACAGCGAGGCAACGTGACAAATCAAACCACCTGCCCGAGACCAATGGAATGCCTGCAGCCACGAGACCAAGCGCGCCGATATACCTATCTAGTAACTGATTGGCTACATGTGGTGGATTGTAGCAGTCCTGTGTTTTGATTGGTCGGATGTGACGGATTTTTACCGTGGGAAAGGGCAACAAACATACCATCAGATCTGACACGAGACATGTGAGTAGGCCTATATATCAGCAGAAAGACTGAAGCAACAGCATTTTAAATTTTATCTTCGTACCGCAAACACCTTACTTGGATTATCATTGAATATCAACACTATGTCTTTACAAAGTATGGAGTGTGGTCATACCACGAAGGAAAAGAAAGCTTCTCTTCGAAAGGTAAGTTTTAAATCAAATATTGCATCAACCAACCAAACACCTGAAATACAATTAATTTCACATTATTTTATTATTTTATTTTTAATTAATTACTTTATAATTTTGATTAGATTTTAATTCCTGATTTACTTTGCTTTTTCAGAGCAATAAGCCAGTTATGGAAAAGAAAAGGAGAGCGAGAATCAACAGTTGTCTATCCCAACTGAAGACACTAGTGCTGGAAGCTATGAGAAAAGATGTAAGTATATCTTGCTAATTATGATATTGATAATACGTCATAATGATATTGTAAAATTGGCTTGGAGCAGAAATCATGTAACATGATATACGTAATAATAACCATTGCTTCGTCATGGTGTGTAAGAAATATTTGTGGACTAGGGGACGGAGACCATGGGAGTTATTGAATTTAGATCGCATATTTATCAACGCAATCGATATCACACACATGCCATATATCAACAGGTAATTGATCGATAATCACAAATCATTATATGCATACAAAAATTACATTATGTTAAAGTGCAAATTATTTTGTGAATAACAGATAAACGTTTTGACAATCAATACGGGACATTGTGTAGGATGAGTTAGCGGTATCTCGAAGTCTCGGCTCATGCACATATGGTAATTGACGGTTGGGTGAACACTAGAGAGACGTCACAATATATACAAGAACAGGTGATACATCTGTCCGTTAGCTCTGATAGGGGTGATGGGCTTTCGATTTGAAATTGCTGAACAAAGAACAACAAGTTTGACTCGAATGAATCCGTTTAAACGTACAATCTCAAAGCACATTAACATACAGTTGGCGATACATGATGAAACCTTATTAACATACTTTATTGGCGCCTACTTTTTACTAGTATAGGGTAATCTCATTTCTTTTATTGCTTAACATCATTATTAAATGCTTATCACATAACTTATGTATATTTATGTTATATTTTTCAGAGTTCTCAATATTCCAAATTAGAGAAAGCTGACATTTTGGAAATGACTGTGAAGCATTTAAGGAATCTCCAGAGGCAACAAATGTCAACAGCTTTAGCTTCAGACCCTAATGTTGTATCAAAATACCGAGCAGGATTTAAAGAATGCGCGGGAGAGGTTGTGAAGTACTTGAATACGTCACAAAGCGTCAATGATGATATGCGATCTCGTATCATGAACCATCTATCCGGAGTCGCTCCATCTGTGAATGCTCACCCCCAGTCACAACAACAACATCAACAGCAGCAGCAGCAGGTTACACCTGTACAAATAACACCTGTGTCCCAGCAAAAGGTGGTTCATCCTCAGCCACAGCATCAGACAATGCAGCCTCTCAGTGTTCAAATTCCCACACAGCAGCACGCGCAAAACAACAGCTTCAGCAGTAACAGTAGCATGAGTAGTTTTACAACGATATCGTCACCAGTCAAACAAAACACGTGCCTACTTATGTCTGGGAATGTGTCGCAACAACAAACCAACTCACAGCACGTGCTGAATCAATCTTCTCCCACATTCGTGAACATTGCTACTCCAGTGAATACGGACAATAAAACACAACTCTCGGGTTCCTTTCAAATTCTTCCTGGAAATCTCTACAATGGTCCAGTGGCGGTTTACGTCGGACCTGTTAATGACAATCAGAGTTCACCCTCCACCACAGCTCTTCCTGTGTTCACAGTACAGGTGCCCTGCCAGCAGTCAACCACATCATCACCCATCAAAAACAAGGAAAACGTTTACTCGAAGGACAATCATGATTACTCGTTAATGTCAAAGCAAGCACAGTTATTAAACATGGGACATGTTGACTGCCATGACTCTAATGTGTACAATGAAAGGTTATGGAGGCCTTGGTGAACGATGGTGGTTGTGTGATGAGAGAAAATGAGACTAGAAACAAATGTGTGAAATATGAGAAACTTTAATGACTAACTCAGGACAAACCAAAGTGCTTCCATTGAACTTTATGCTATGTGAGAGACTTGTGATGTGTGATACAGGAGGAAATATTCCGAATGACTGCGAATAGCTGCTATATTTGATACTAGTGCTATTCTATGTTGTTCTACTTGTTGAATTTTGAATATTTTTTTATTCCAATTATTAAATTTGTTATTTAAATTGATTACATGACTTCTTTTATGTTTTTATACCCAAAACAATCTCGATGATTTCATGGTAGAACAGTATAGTTGGCTTAGCAATATATGTCGAGTTGCTATCCTAGTACAGAATAAACCACTGATTAAGAAGACTTTAATGGAGTTTATGCCTTCTGGTATGTTTTATAAACGCAAAACAATCTCCATCATTTGATGACAGAAGGTTCTCTTAAAAACCTTGAAGTAATCATGGTTAGCTTAGCGACGTAGACACACTACCATACTGGAACAGGTTAAAACACTGTTGGAGAAGACTGAAAATGATTATGTGACTAATTTTCGTCTTTTACGCAAAACATCTCGATTCTTTGTTGTTAGATGGTTGACGTGTAAAGCGTGACGTAAGTATTGTTAGCTTGACAACATAGGCAGACAGACTCACAACACCGGGACAGGTGTAACCAACAGCTGGAGAAAACATCCATTTACGAATTTGTCTTCCCTTTGGTACCTTAGAACAACTAAACAGACATTTTTAACGATAATTGTGCTTACACCGTGTTTCGTTTTTCTAAACTTACGCTAACTGGGAGAAGAAATGAATGTTCTTAATTACAAGTTGAAGGGCGACATAGACCGCTATAGAACTGTTCTCATTAAGACAAATTACTTTTTCGAAACCCTTCAGGTTCCTGCCGCTTTCGAAACATCTATTTTCTCTGCACCTTAAAAAATATGGCATGAACAATTGCAAAGCTAAAGGCTCTTAGTTAGCCATTTGATTGGTTTTAGACAAGAAAAAAATGACTGATTGGTTTTAGACAAGAAAAAAATAACTAATCGCTCTGCCGCTACCTGTTGTGTGAAGATTACATGAAGCTTCTCAAAATCAAAGGCAATTTGACTGCTGCCGCGCGATTCTTTTTATCTTGTATCTACGTGATCATACATATGAAATATTTTGTTACAGTTCCCAGAAACAGTTTATTCGTATCATCCGCTAGGAGGCATTTAAGGGCCTTCGATTTTGTCACAACCTACACCAAGGACGTAGAGAGCTATACATGTTTGTATTTCGGGAACGAAACCGTTATCGAATATTGCAATATGACGTACACGAGGCTACTACAATGTTATCAACAAATAAAAACTGACTTTATGCTATTCATGCATGATATACATAAATGGAGAAATGTTATGCACAGATACTTTACTTAACCTCGATATTCTGACCAAGACTAAAAACGTAAAGACGATGATATAGGTTGTGTAATTTTGATGGATGTGTTATAAACACATATATGTTTAGCCAAAAGCTTTGGCGATTATTATGGAGCCGACACGAGATGACCTTCAAAAGGAATAGAAGATGCTACTGCTCATAGCAGGAGCAGGTCTCAAAGTACATTATCGGTCCCAGGTGGAAGTCGCACTTACATTTGTTCATTTTCACCTGGGATCGGGGATGTTAGGAGTAGAGCTAATGTTATTGCTGAAGGAAGTAACACATTTTACCAAAGGTCTACCGCCTCTCTCTATAGAAAGCCTCCAATTACAGAACCGTATCCATTACAGAGTCATTACTTAATTGGCTCAGTTGTCGGGTATCAAACATCGCCATGTATAGGAGGGGGCAAAGTGTGTGTGTGTGTGGGGGNCGGTGTGGTTGGTATCCCTGTAAATTGATCACACATTTCACGTACAACTTTCTAAACAACCATCTTTTGGATAATCAAAGATATGTCTCAGTTTACCTGTCAGAATACACCGGTCATAGTGTATATATTTAAAAAAAAAAAAGGAACTTTGAAAACGAAAATATTGAGCGAGCACTTCAATAGTTTCTATGTGATATTTAGCTGACACAAGGTAATGCAGTTTCAAACTACAATTTCAAAAAGACTTAAGGAGCTACATGTACATATAAAATTTGCTCATGATAATAATGGTACAACATGTAAGTAATGGTTAACGTCGTGAAAGTACTCTTTCTAAACGGTAAAATCACAAAGTGCCGATCTCGTATAAGGTAAGTACAAAATACAGAACTTATCAGGTAAATCACATGGTTAAAATTCGCATAGTTGGCTGAGAAAACAGCCAATAATACCGAGCTTTCACGATTTAGAAAAAAATCCCACACTGGATGGTGAAATTTTGGCATTTACTAGATGTAATCATCAGTAAAATGTTAACTTTCAGTCGCATGAATGGGAACAGAAATTGACACAAACGTCATTACCTACAAATTATACAAACTACAGTTGGTATTACCGACGACAGGAGTGTGACGACAGTTTCACATAAACTAAATGCACCAGGGAACGTCGTAACACGAGTTATGTCATTCCAAAAGGTGGTTGGACATTGTTTTATAAACGAAGTGTTGAACAAATTCTAGGGAAGTGCGTGATAATGGGCAAACGTTTTACGGCGTGTGAGGATGTGATTGTGGCGCGCGTACTCTCATCGAATTGTCAGGAAAACGAGGCCTGCGCGTGCTGCGTTACGTAAACGTTTTTTTTTTTCTCAGATTGTTCAACACATTGCTTTTTCTCTCTTTTCTCTTTCTTTGATGCCACAATGGGTTAATACAATGGGTTGAATGAATGCACAATAGTAATATATCGGTTCTAGCATTTATTTAGTCAACCAGGGTATATATTTCCCCGTCTGATGTTGGGTGTATTTCATTATCGACTTCATGAAACGCAACAAGGACCCCAATCTCACACCAATTATTATGATTTTGGATTGAAAGGGAAATCATTGATAACAACATTGATAACATCAACAGCAGGATGTAAATCCACGCCTGGTAAATTACGTAGTTTGTGCACGCTTGTATCTTCTAACCTAGTAAATAGCCCAGATAAGCTTAGACCCAGAAGAAATTAAACCCATTTAAGAAGGCGAACGTGGCGGTGTTGTGTATGTGTTAGAATACATCTCTGGCATCATAACACCGATTTAAAACAACTAATGAAAGCTAATTTATTCAACGCAATACATAACCTTATTTCACGTCGTTTTATCGTTGTTTATCGCGAAAGGAGAAATATCAGATCATGCTGTAATTGAATAATCAAGTTTTCCTGAAACATCATACACAGGGCCCCTAAGCTGACGTGTGTGCATGACTGATTTAAATCAATTCGTCTGTATAAATGCAAAAGTGTATCGAAGTGTTCCGGGTCAGAAACGTAGGCTCCTTTCCCACGACACCAGAGGGTCACGTGGTTTTCAGCCAAATTTGATCTCTGACCCCGTCTCGTGACGCAAGCGTGCCTGCGTGAGATACGCTAGTGGAACGGCGGAGGTAACGATAAGGACAGGGCGGTGTGGGCAATCAGCTCGTGTGGTCGGGTTTAGTTTCGGATAAGGAGTCGTTTAATATGTTATTTAATTCTTCTAGAATAAACTGTCAAAATATCTCGTATAAGCTTAAGGAGAGCTAGTTGTATCAACAGGTGTTACGTCAGTTTATTTGTGGCATACTGATAAAGATAAAGGAACCGTGATTGTCCCTGTGTTATAAACAGTGTCAATTCCACGAAGCAAGACTAGAACAATGCACTCAGAAATGTTATCTGCGTAGATCTTATCTTACTTCCGCAGGAAATACAGTAAGCATGTAGACATGCATTGACGTAGGGGAAGCAACGGTGTCAACAATAGAAACTTTCTAGTTCATCAGCCATCACCGTTTACAGGAACTGCTGTTCCGAATAGATCTACATCTCGAACTAGATTCCTTATATATATTGTAATTGTATTTTAACATATGCATTGCTGTATAAGAAAACACACGCCCTTTGAGCTGAACGCTACTTTGACACGCATTTGCACCAATAACTAAAGGGGAACAACTCCTATTAAAAAGGGAAAATCCAGACACGTCACAAAATGTCGAGGAACGATTAAAGCTATCATATGTTCAACCTTTCTAACAGAACATATTTAAAAGTTTGAAAATATGTTAGTGTCCATAAAGGACAGCTTAGAATTTGATGTCCTTGTGATGCCCTTGTAATGTCCCCAATAAATCGGACTGCCTGGTTGAGTTACATGTAGCAAATTAAGATTACAATCAATCAATCAATAAATCAATCAATATCTTTTTTTTCATCCAGTGAGGAATTTTTAAAACAAAATCAAACAAATGAAGACTCAGAACACGTATACAACTATTTAAGCATTATCTCTCTGTCCATGACATCTTCTTTATATTCATGGATTAATCCACTTGCAGAAAGGAAAATGATAATATAACATACTAGCTTTCGACAGAAAATGGACATTGTCCATCAAAACTGCATGTACATACATTTGACTTCAAAGTTGTTCAGGATATGAGGCGGTGGTCGTGTTGCAGAGTACCCAAAAATGCAAATAAAGTGTCCCCGGACCGTTATATGAGTTGCGTCCTATATGGGTCATGGACATCAGTCGTTACACTGCATCAATATACATCCGTCCGCATATCTGACAGGAAACCTCAGTCCAATTTGGCAGGCATGTTAGAATTTCGCAAACCAGTTTCACATGAACACGCTCTCTCTGTGTAGACGATACAGTCCATAGTGTATAAAGGGCTTAGGATCCCTTGACTTGTATATCATTGAAACGAATATATTCGATGTAAATTATAACCGTTCTATAAAATGCCATATTCCCTTTCAAATATATTAAATACACTTCTATATGATATTTCTAGTAGGCTAAGGAATCTGCTAACTTTGGAAATATGCTTATTTGGATAATGAACGTAAAAAACGCAGTAAAGAACTTTTAAATGCTAACATTTCAACATTTGGTCATATAGATGGAATTTGAATGGTCTATTTATACAATTGATACGAATCGAATAGGCGATGTGCAGCCTACAGATGACATACCGAAATCTATCTAATTGATCGTTTTGTGAATATCCTCTTGATCTATAGGACACCTATATGTACATCGAATTTGGGTCGATCAATAACTAACCTCGAGTGTCCGGACGTTCCGTCGGCAATTTTTAT